CCCCGAAACTATGTCCCACCCACCCCAATTAAAACCCCTAAAACCAAGTTTGACAGCGTAAGGTACTGTGGTAAGTTTAGATTTATTTGCTTTCGGGGGAAGCAAATAAATAACAACAAACATGTCAACTTGTACAGACTGTCCGTAAGTTATAAGGATTTTACGTCATTTTGCAGGTATACGGACGTATAGGGCAATCTCAGATTTTTTCAAGTCTTACGGATTTTTTCAAAACCTCATTTTCAAATTTATCTAACATGTCAGAGCCTGTAGGATGATTTAAATAACATCAAACAGCCATCTTCCAACCTGTTCTGCCGCTAGAAATAAGTTTTGAAATTTTTTCGCTCTCCTTTCCTCCTGCTTCGCAGCAGGTGCGAGTTGTAAGGATTTTTTTTGCAAAATTTACAGATTTTTGAGGCTTTTTATACAGGTAAACGTCCGAAGAGATTGACATGTATGGGACAACAAAATACAGACTTGTTATTGAGTTTGTCAACACGAACCGCTACCTGAGAGTCACTACTAGCTCCTCCCCCGTCAGAGTGTCGGAGCAGGACGAGTATTTTTCCTGTAAAGGGCTCGACACACGGGAGGCGACGTCGCTCGCTCTCCATTCATTTCCTATGGAGCCTGCGCGGTGAGGCGACAATCACTCGCCCTCCTCCAGCTAAGCGACCGGCGAAAATAGCGCATGTGAAATTTCGNAAGCTAATTGAAAGGGGCGCTGAGCAGAGTTACAACCAGGGATTACAAATAATTACTTTTTTCTTCTGCAGTTCGGCGCCCCCTCCAGGAGATGGCGCTCTAGGCGACCGCCTAGCTCGCCTATGCTAAGAGACTTAAAAACATGTCAACATTGGTGACGTCCACAAAATATTTCTGACAGCGTTGATGTGATTTACTTATATTCTGATTTGTTGAGAAAAGTCTACAGATGAATGCCCCATGTTTACATCGGGTGTGGACCCGCATTTCTAAATTATCTGGAAAAATAAGCTGAATATTATTTATGTTGCATTTTATGCTCTTAATCATGTCTGTATTTATTGCCTACTTATTGTTTTTAATGATGTAGGACACAGTAACCTGTCATTCATCACGTCACGTGACTCCTAAATCTGACAGAATGAGACACCGGAGCGGCTTCCTGCCTTTTTATAAACAATAATAACATTTTTTTAAGACAGTAGCCTAAAAAATAAAAAATAATAATAATGTTAAACAGCATCCCAGCCGCGCCCGGATGCTCACACGCACGCGCACAGACACACCAGGATGCTGGAGGAGCGCGGCTGGTCTGGAGCATCCCTCCGGGCCGCAGCGCCTCACCCACCGCAGCGAACCGGCCAGAGGGAACCTACGGTTCCTGTAGTCCGGCCTGTAGCCGCAGAGGGACCCCCCCACAGGCAGACAGACAGGTCCAGTCCCAGCTCCCCTCCTCCACGCCCTATCCTCCTCACCTCCGCTCCAGATGCCGCCGCTCTCCGCCTGCGTGAAGCCGGACTGTGGCGCTGCGCGGCGGGCAGAGCATGGGAGGCGTCCCCGCGGAGCCGGACTCAGGAGGCGGTTCGGGTCTGGGCTCGGCTCGGCTCGGCTCGGCTCCGTGATGATGATGATGCTGTTATGGCATCTCTCTTGTCTGACTCCTCCTGACGCACCAGCTGCCACCCGCTGCTGCGTCGAGACGTCCAGCGTTGACGGCAGCGGTACAGGAAGTGCAGCAACGTGGCCTTCAAAATAAAAGAAGCTGACACGCAAGTAATTATAATAATACTTTTTAACAGTTTTTGCAGTGTGAATGCTTACTGCTACATAATATTAAATCAAAACAACAAAAATTACCGATTTCTACTGAGACAAAACACAAACCAGACCAGACTTCTGGACCCTGTACTTTTGTTTCAGAACCAAACAGCATGTCTTCTTCAGTTGCACATAAATCTGTCCATGCTCTTATTGTGAAGGCAGAGCAGTTTCCGGTCTGACAGTCGGCGCTTGGACTGATCCACAGCATCTCGTTCAACAGGAATGAGCACACGCACATCTTTATCACTGACACAAAATCAATCGACTTCCTCAGATCGATAATCAGCCGAGGTCACGTGACTCTGCGATCTGATCAGCAGCTTGGTGATGAGGAGGATGGGGCTCAGAGATGACGTCACACCCCATGTTTGGTTCAACTTTGTCAGATTTTTTGGTTGGCCCTTAAACGCCTCACTGTGAAGCAGTGATCAGACAAATCGATTATTTTTAATTTCCTTTCTCTGATGAAATAACTCAAATTTTAAACACAAAAACCAGATGTAAACGGTTTGAAGAAGAAACAAAAAGCCACAAGTTTCATTCAAATACTGATTTTTTTAAACATCACCTTTAAAAGTTTTTATTTTAAGTGTTGACCAACAATATGTCAAGAACATTTTCAGAACAAGGAAAAATCCTCAAATCATCCTGAAGGACCTTAGAGAAACTCAACAACAAACAAACAAGCAAAAAACAAAACAACAACAAAACCCTAAAATTCCGCAGGAATTCAACAAACATCCCGCTAAACTAACCATGAATAATCCGCAGTGGGCTTTTATTTTGACAGGCTGCAGGATGAAGGTTTCAGGAAGTGAAGTTCAGACAGGATCAGGTTGAGTTCAGAGAATATCTGCAACTTATAAATATTATATAGAAACTGTTTCAGACAACGTCACACCTTCAGGGTTCATGTGGCAGGAAGTGGATTCTTGGAACTATTAAATTAAATAAATGGTGAAGCTCCGCCCACATCACCTGTCTGTCCAGGTGATACTTCATGTCCCACTGACTTGTGTTACCGAACAGATTCAAACTTCAGAAACTTTTTCTTCTCAGTTCAGGTTTGGTTGCATCACTTCTTTTTATTATTTTTCCACATTTCTCTACTTTCAGTTTGTTTTCCATGGAGACGAGTCCTCCTGCGCTCACCTGGAACCACAGAAGAAGACGGAGACACGATCCGATTTGACCTGACAACCGATGGAAGATTACAGAGAAATAAGCCCTGGACTCACCTCACTGTACATTACATCTTTTCTTCTTTTTAAATGGTTCTCCTCTCAGGGTCCCTGTAGATAAACAGACGCTCTGATTGGTCGGTTTGAAGCAGAAAGGTGACATCATCATCATCATCATCATCATTAACAGAAACCCATGTGGGATCGGGGACTGGACCACGCAGCAGGTCTGAGAGTTCAGGTGTTTTCAGAACACAGGCTGGGCTTACCAGGACTACAGGACCGGGGATGGACTCAGGATGATGATCAGGTGGTACCTTACCTGCTGGGCTGATCTGTGGGGAGTCTGAAGGTCCATCAGGATCAGAATCTGGTTCTTCACTGTTCTCCTCCTCTTCGTCTCGTCTCACTTCTGCCGTGCTGATCTCCTCAAACTCAGACTCCTCGATTCCACTCAGATTGTGAGAGTCCTGGTTCTCTGCTGGACCCTCTGAGCTGAGCTGGACCTCCTCCATTCCTGCATCCCTTCTGGTCTTGGTGTCAGAGTGGGAGTCCTCCTCGGGGTCCTGAACCTCCTTCGGGCTCTGATTTTCCTCAGTATCAGCAGCAGTAACGGTGGGAACAGAGGGTTCAGGGGGATTCTGGGGTTCGGAGGGATCCTGGTCAGGCTCAGCAGGTCCTGGTTCAGGACTTGTTTCAGTAGGTGGAGCTTTGTGGGCCTGGACCTCCTCTGGGGGCGTCAGGGACAGTTCAGGAAGAGAAGAATCCGGTTCATTCTGGGGTTCTGAGGGATCCTGGTTAGACTCAGCAGGTCCTGGTTCAGAACTTGTTTCAGTAGGTGGAGCTTTGTGAACCTGGACCTCCTCTGGGGGCTTCAGGGACAGTTCAGGAACAGAAGAATCCGGTTCATCCACGGCCTTTGACTTCCGTATGATTGAAGCACGTCCTGAAAAACAGCGACACGATCAGATGGACCCAGACTCCGATACGGTCTACGAGATTTCTGAAGACCCCCCAGAGTCCTCACCCTGTCCTCGGCTGCTCCTCCTGGACTGTGGTCTGGTCTTCCTCAGGTTGTGGCCTTTCCTGATCTCAGCCAGCAGGTTGTCAATGATGCAGCCTTCGTCCTGCGGAGCCACGTCTCTCCTAACTGAAGGACAAAAATAGGAGGAGCAATGTCACGTCACTTCCTGCTCCTTCAATAAGCCCCGCCCACTTTTAGTGTGTAAAACTGGCGTCAACGAGAGAATAACAGGGACGATGTGTTTAAAAGATTCTGGTTGTGGAAAACAAAAACACGAGCAGATTGAAGCCTCTAATATCTCATTTTAATTTCGGTTCAGAGGCGGTCTGAATGACTCCGCCCACCTCCGGGTCTAAATACTCACCAGTCTTGTTAGTTTCTCCTTTAAGCTTCTTCTCTTGTTTCTTTCTCTTCGCCTCCTGCTCCCTGCGGCACTCGTTCTCCTGGATGAAAAATGATCAGGAAATATTCCAGAGAAAAGCACCACACAAAGTGTACTAAGATAAAGCCAGTGTTGTGTTTACTAAGCCGTGGCAGCCATCTTGAATGGGGCAAACCGGGAAAAATCATCCTCGCTCTCCTTTCGGCGGAGGGTAATAACGAGAACTAACGGAGCAAACCCAGAAACCATTGGGGGTACTGGTCCTGAGACCTGCTGACCTTCACTGCCCGGATGAAGAGGCCTCTGAAGGTCTTGATGATGCTGAAGAGCTCATCGAGGGAGAAACGGACGCTGTCCTCACACAGGTAGTCGGCTAAGTCCCGCCTCTTCTCCTCCACCGATGACATCACCTGCTGCAGCTGCTCGCACGCCCGCAGGCTCTCCTGAAAACACACCACAGAAGAAGAAACGTCTCGATGAGTTTGTTGCTGCTGATAGACAGGTGAGGAGCTATAAAGCTTGGGGGCGGAGCCTAATTGTTTCACCTGGATTGCCGCCAGGTATTGTTTCTTCACATCCTCAGAAGAAGATAAAACTTTCTTCTCAGAATTTTTCAGCCGCGTCGTCAGAGAGTTGGTCTCGGTCTGAATTGACTCCATGTTCACCCTGCAGAGAAAGTCTTGTTAAAGGGACAGTTCAGCTCTTTTTAAGGGAGGTTGTGTCGACTAATTCAGAAAAACAACAATGAGCGGTCAAATCTGGATCAGAACATCCAGCCAATCAAATCGATCAAAACGACCGGACCATCAGTTAGCATGTTTACCCAGAAGCCTTTTCACAGATCTCCAGGTCGTCGGGCAGGTTCATCAGGTCGGGATGGTTCTCCTCCACCTCCTGATGGTCAGACAGAAACAAACACCTGGGTCAGAACCCCACTGGATCGGTCCGAGCAGCGAGACCGGACCCCTCAGAGACTTTACCTCCAGGATGTGGTGCAGCAGTGTGATTCTGGACTTGTTGGCTTTGGTTTCCGTCAGTCTGAGCAGAGTGCTGATCTTAAAACCTTCAGCGTTCCCAGTGTGAGTTCCCTGATGCACAAAACGACACGTCATGTGACAACACGTGACGTCATGTGACAACATGTGACAAATTCAATCGATCTGTGGCTTTTGCTCCTGGTATTTTACATTTTTTGGAGAAATAATTTATTTATCTACATAATAGATGTTTATTTCTAAAATTAGCAACTGTAGCTAAAACCAAATTAGCTAAACTGTAGCTAATAGCTAAAACAGTAAAACTGTATCCAAAAGCTAAAAGCAGCTAAGACCAAAAGTGATCAAATAAGTTGTTAAATTCAGAATGAGAGTAGCTAAAATTAGCAAAACCTTAGCTAAAGTCTGCAATTAGCAAACCATAGCTATTACCTAAACTTAGCAAAACAGTAGCTAAAAGCTAAAGACAGTGAGACAATAATTAAAACCAGTAATATAGTAGCTAAAGCCTAAAACAAGTAAAACGATAACAAAAGGTACACACATGGACAAAATTGTTGTTACCGCTCGTTTAATGAAAGAAAAACCCACAATGGTCACAGAAATACCTAGAATCTGACAAAAGTAATAAATAAAGATTATATGAAAATGAACCAATTTTTGTTAAAATTTATTTATTTATTTATTTACTTATTTAGTTTCGCTCTCGGAGGAGTAAGACACTTTTCCCTTCTCTCCTGACCTCCCTTATCTTTCCCTGCTTTGCTGCCTGGAGCCTCCTCTACGTTTTCATCCAAAACCAAAAATTATGGATTTATTTTTATGGATTTGGTTAGCTGGTCTCTTAATAAGTTTTTGGAACAAAGTTTTCCTCCATGGGAGGACATGTCAAAGGTGGGACCTCTGTTCTGCTCTGTTCTGGATCCATATTTGGATTCTGATCACTGGATTCTACTCACTGTCTTGGTGGTCTCCTGGTGTTCTACAAAACAGCGTCGGTGGCTATTCAGGCCATTTCCTGGCTGCCAGACCAATATGAAGGATTGCTGTTCCTTCAGCACTCAGACTTTAGCCTTGAGCGAGCTGGGCTCAGTCTGCAAATGGTTCTTGAGGGTCACGGGCCGGCTGTGGTTCCTGGACTTTGCTGGTCAGATGGAGTTGATCTTTGAGAAGCTGATAGATCGGCTCCGCGGAATTTGTCCACACTATTTGTCTGATTGGATTCGCCACATTGAGATGTACCAGCGGACATTAAGGCAGATGGAAAATTATTATTGTCTGCCTGACCGAAAACATTTTCCCTGTTCCCAAACAACTGATTACAGATTCGTCTCCTCCCCACGTGACCTTGAAGGATGTGAATCTAATTTCTCCGGGGTGTTTACGTCGACTTGTGGCTCCTCCCCCACCTTTCCCACCTCTCACTCTGTCTAATCGGATCTCCAGAAGGTCGTCAGTCTGGAGCTGCACAGAATGAAGAATTCAACACCAGTATTCTGAACTATGGGTTTTTCTTTTGGGAGGTTGGATTCTTCGGTCTCATTCTCTCTAAACTCGTTTACTCCTCTGGCTAATAGATGTGCTCTTGCTTTTTAGAGGTTTTTAAATAAACACCATAGTGCATCATATTTCGTTCATATAACATGATGTTTTGGGGTTTTTTCCTCATCTAACCTTCTGTGGTATTTTTGTTTTTCTTTTTAAAAAGGTAGTGCGATCCCTGCTGGTTGCCGCATGGCCTGACCACCTGTTCCCCCATGTTTGTCATGTGTGTCTTCTTGAATGGATGTTCTTAAAATGTAATTTCATCGTGCTCCATACAATGTCAATAAAGGCATCATCCATCAATCAATCAATCAAAGTCAGACACTGTTTCTCAGCCAAGCTTCAAATACCTGCTGAGAGCTGCAGGTCTCACTGAAAGTTACAGAAATACTTTGATTGCAGTGACTGACTTAAAGGGATGTGCAACAAAAGGGTCCCATCATTTGTGTCTAGGCTTGCTTTATGAGTTTTATTTTTTTGTTTTAATTCTGTTCAAGCATGGCTGAAAAGCAATGTCTGACTTTCATTTGTTCATTTTCATTGAATTTTTATTTATTATTTCCTTGGTCAGATTCAAGTTATTTCTATGACCACTGTGGGTATTTCTTACCAATAATTTTGTCCACGTGTGTAAATGTGTCATAGTTAAAGCTGAAAAAATATAAATACTAATATTTTTTTACATTTAAAAATCCTAAATAATTTCTCTGAAAAATGTTTGTTTTAAAAAGTTTTAAAGTTACACCAAAAAAGCACCCATCTTGTGAGTGAGCCAAACATTGATTCCTGAATAGTTAAACTTGTTGAAAGTAATTAGGTGCTGAAAACATACAGAATAAACTGTAAAGAGGAAAATAACAGAATGCTGACTCAGCGTTCACAACAACAGGACAGACAAAGATCCTTACATAGTTGAGGAAATTGCCAACACTGAGGATGAGTTTGCAGAAGCTGGGCAGCCGAGTGCTCTCCCTCAAACCTGAGCAAAAACGGTTTCACACAAATATATTTAAAAATAAGTTTCAGATCAAACCTAAACTCAAACAGAGGCTGAACTGCTGTGATGAGACGTTTTGCAACTCTGAGGTCATTTATTTTGTCACATCACCAGCAGGGGGCGCTACAGTTTAATTTTTAAACTTCTGCAGTTCTTAAAAGGACAAAAATATAATAATAATAATAAGAAGAAGAAAACCTGGAAATTTGAAATAAAAAAGTGAAAAACATGAACATTAAGAGACATTTCAGATTTTAAAGAAGTTATAGAATAAATCAATGAAAACAAACAGTTAATACAACCTATTTATTTAAACTCTAAACTGTATTTCTATTGTTTATTTGTGTGTATTTCTTATTTATTTGTGTGTATTTGTCTTATTTATGTGTGTGTAGTTGTCTTATTTATGTGTGTGTAGTTGTCTTATTTATGTGTGTGTAGTTGTCTTATTTATGTGTGTGTAGTTGTCTTATTTATGTGTGTGTAGTTGTCTTATTTATGTGTGTGCAGATGTATTATTCATCATGTGTATTTGTCTTATTTATTTGTGTGTATTTGTCTTATTTATGTGTGTGTAGTTGTATTATTCATCATGTGTATTTGTATTATTCATCATGTGTATTTGTATTATTCATCATGTGTATTTGTATTATTCATAATGTGTATTTGTATTATTTATTTGTGTGTATTTGATGTAGAAACGATAAAGATACAGACTCTGGCAGGCTTGGTCCACAAGTTCAGCTCGGGGCTTCAGAGTGTCTAAAGCACAGCTGCTCTCCTCACACAGCAACATGCACTCGATCCTCAGGGTGTAACTAAAACACATCAGCAGCGAACAGGTGTGTGTCTCAGGTGTGGTTCTTCATTTTTATGTGTTATACTTGATTGACAGGTGAGACTGTCGTCCTACCTGGGGACATCCAACAACTTCAGGTAAAACTTGTCCACTGATGCCATCTTGTCTTCTTCTGCTTTGTTAGACTTCAGGTTTTCTATCTGAGGATAGACAGGTGAGACAAACAGAGGTCAGGTGATGCTGCTGAGGGACAGGAGACAGGGGACACAAAATGAGACAAGCTGAAGATGTGAAGAACAGGTGTGACATGTTGGACAGGTGTAGGACAGCTGCGGGACAAGTGGAAGGTCTAAAACAAGGACTGTTCTGGTGTAAGGCATATCTAGGACACCTTAGGACAGGTAAGAAACAGGTGGTATAGATGAGAGGCAGGTACGCTTTAAAGCAGGTTGAGACTGAGGTTAGACAGGTGTGGAGTTAAGTAAAATAAAAGCAGAAACAGTATAAGGGACAAGACCAAAATGCTGAACAGGTATTGGACAGGTGTTAAGGCAGGTGAAGCAGTTTTAAATAGATGTGGCAAAAGAAAGGGAACAGGACAGGTGTGGAACAGGTTTGAGACAGGCGTAGGAAGTGTTAAAGAAGTTGTTGAACAGTTACGGAGCAGATTAGAGCAGGTGCGGAACAAGTGTTAAACTGGTGTCAAACAGGTGTAGGAGAAATGTGGTACAGATGTGAAACATGTGGGGGACAGATCTAAAACAGGTGTGTAATAGAAGTAGTACACATGTGGGACACAAAACAGGTGTGGGACAGACGCAGTACACATGTGGGACACAAAACAGGTGCGGGACAGAAGTAGTACACATGTGGGACACAAAACAGGTGTGTAACAGAAGTAGTACACATGTGGGACACAAAACAGGTGTGTAACAGAAGTAGTACACATGTGGGACACAAAACAGGTGTGTAACAGAAGTAGTACACATGTGGGACACAAAACAGGTGTGTAACAGAAGTAGTACACATGTGGGACATAAAACAGGTGTGTAACAGAAGTAGTACACATGTGGGACATAAAACAGGTGTGTAACAGAAGTAGTACACATG